CGTGCTATATTTGACCCTGTAACTTCCCAAAACACCATAAAACCTGTACATAGTACTGTTTTACACGTCAGACTTTGCTTAATACAAATATGTGTATTTTATTGCAGTAAAAGCAAACAATATTATGACATTGACAGTTAAAATGTCATGTAGAACTAAAAAAATAAAATAAAATGTATTTTCTCCCATATTTTTTTCATATTAAATTATGTTTCATAGCTAAATATTTGATATTAAATGAAAGCCCTGTTTCCCCTGAATAAAATGATATATAATAAGGGTGGGTGTATTTACTATGAAAGAGGTGAATTATGGTTGGACAGACATGTAGCGCAAATGCCAGGTTTTGTTTACGTTTTTTTCACAACGTGTACATTTGGCTCAGTCCTTAAGGGGTTAAACTTGCTTCTAAAACACAAGAAAAAAAAAAGTGAAAAAATGGTGCTATTAGTAATAGAAAAAAAATTAGAAAAAATAAGTCAAAGCAGCACCTAAAAAGTGTATTAGCTCATTAAACACACCTAAAACCATAAAAACAAAGAGTTACGTGCGCTAAATTTTTAAAGTGCAAACATATTGCAGCAACACACAATAAATAGACAAAACTGTGCAATAGTATAAAGTGCTTGATAATGTGGAAAAAACACTTACACACACTTTTAGCAATCTGTGTGGACCTTCCTTTAAAGTGCTTCAATCCAGTGCCACTCACTGATATATAAGAAGCAAACAATGTAAATACACTGCTTATAAGTGCAAAAAAACACAGTGTAAACAGGTGATATTGTGCACAAATATTGGAAAAAAAAATATATACCTTACAATAACAGCATTAGCAGCAAATTTTCAGGTAAAAATACATAAAACAGAAAAAAATATATATAGTGTAATACTGTAAATTATATCCAAAATATGACTATAAGTGAGGTAGGTATTTGACTCACAAACACAGAGCAAATGAGTCTGCTCTAACTGTAACAGCCTTAATCAGTAGACTTTCACTTCAGCAGGTAAAAAATGAAGAGCCTTTATTTCAAACGATAAAATCCAAAATTCACAAGTCACCCTGATCCCTGGTAGTGAAGAACCGTCTGTTCGCTGACTGAATGCAGTTGCCGGCGGGCACCAAAGTTTCTGCAAAATCCTCTAACAGCTCCGGTCTCTATCTGCTACTTCCGGGAGGCAGGGTTTAGCGTGATTACATCAGATGACGCGTTTCACCGGGTTCAACGGCTTCCTCAGATCCTCAACCGGCTTACCTGAAAATTTGCTGCTAATGCTGTTATTGTAAGGTATATTTTTTTCTATTTTATTTTTTTACAATATTTGTGCACAATATCACCTGTTTACACTGTTTTTTTTGCACTTACATTGTTTGCTGCTTATATATCAGTGAGTGGCACTGGATTGAAGCTCTTTAATGGAAGGATCACACAGATTGCTAAAAGTGTGTATAAGTGTTTTTTCCACATTCCACGTTTTGTCTATTTATTGTGTGTTGCTGCAATATGTTTAAACTCACTTATAGTTTAAACTCCTGTTGTTTCAACTCCTACTTAAAGAAACTACTTTAAATAGCCCACTTTCAAGCAAAATCCAGTGAGCACTGGTGGAAATTAAGGGGTACTCCCCCTATATCACTCAGCAGCAGCAGCAGCACACACAGGGAGGGGAATAAAAACAGCAAGAGAAAAAATTAGGGGGAAAAAAAGAGAGAAAAAGTTTTAAATATAAACAGCCAAGAAAAAAACTATATATAAGAAAAAGAAAGAAAAAACAGAAAATACTCTGCCAGAACACACAGGCACACTCAGCCTCCCCATATATAATTCTTAGTCTTTGCACACAGATACCATTCAACCACTACACAAAACAACAATTTTATTAAAGGACACGGAGGCTCCTATTATGCTTTTCTTTATTCCTCAGCAGCAAAAGAAAAGATATTGTATATATTCATTGAAAAAAATTCAATAACAAAACATAATTTACCCCCAAAGTTTTAACCATATAAAACACATAAACCAATGAGAGTGTTCCTAGCATAATAATGTCCCATGTGACCCTAAGCCACTCCTCTTTCTTTTGCTGCTGCCTCCTCAGCTAAGTACAAAATGTTCAACCTCTGTCATAAGTGAAAAATTGGATATGTATTTTCTGTTTTAGTTAGGTTAATTACCTTTAATTGCCATTACTTTTCAGTGTGTGCCTTTAATTGACCTATCTCTCCGTTTGGTTATTTGTTTGTATGAGAATCTCTCCTGTATTTTCTCTGTAATTTCCCTCCCTCCCTCCCCCTCTGTCGTCTGGTCGGTTTGTTTATTTTCCGACCGTCCTTCCCCCTCCTTACTTAGTGCCTCGGACCTGAGGCTCCCTCTCACACCGGGTACCATTTTCTTCCATGGTCCCGGTGGACTGCGGCTACAGCCGTGGCTAGTGCTGCTCGCGCATGCGCACACCGCGAGTGCGCATTGTGGCGGCCTTATTGGTATTGGCAGTTTTGCCGTGCTTTTCCCTCCCAGGAGCTTATTCCTGAGGGAACACTCTGTGAGCTTGCTGTATTTGCTTAAGCTGTGCCTGTTTTTTACACTGTATTTTTACATTTTAAATTTTTACATTTTTACATACTATTTGTGCTTGCTATATTTTAGTTATCTGCAGGCTGATAAGATAATTGATGGCTCTGCCACTAAGGCCACCATAACCACAACACCCCTACCGGTGCCGAAAATACCCACAATAATTGAAGCATCACAGGAGCAAATGGACTCGGAAGAGTTACATTCCCTCCTAGACGCTGCTATGGCGAAGTCTGTGACGCAAGCCATATTTACCGCAATGGGAGCCATGTCGGATAATATATCCCATTCGATAACCAATGCACTAGTGATAACTCAGCTACCACCAGATCCCATGGTTAACCCCCCAGAGAGTAAACCGGTGGCCCCTAGTGGGCGTAAAGCCACAAAAAAGTCTCGCCATTTGGACGAGTATGCCTACAAAATCTTACAGACAGAAAGGGTACATCCTGTCACAGAACCAGTGTTTGGACCACAACTAAGAGCCCCCCACCAGGCAAAATCGGTGAGGAACTGGAAGAGGACAAAGGCCCTGATTGAATCCTCCGACTCTGAATAGGAGCAAGAGGAGGCACAGAGCGAGTCCGATGAAGAGGACTCTTATGATTCCAACAGTTATTTGCCGGAGCACAGCTCCTTGACACTAACGGGAACAGACCCCAAAGATGGAGTTGACGACTCTGCCCTGGTTGACCCTCAGGGCGAGCCGCTTTTTGACCCCGACACCCTACAACACCCGAGATCCTTGGAGTGGTATTCCGTGGAACATGTAGCAAAATATATCGCTGCTCGCATTAGAAAGCCACTTGAAACAAACTTCGAGCAGAATGCCCACGCTCCTCTATTCCTGATATGGCATGTGTCACCCCTGACGTAGACCCAAAGATCGCCCAATTCTTGGGAAAATCAGGTTGGAAGGCCAAGAAGGGCCTGGACTTTGCCTGGCGGAATTGCCAGGATAAGGTCCTGGACGTCCTGGGGCCAATTGTGAAGATGTTCGAAATCGCGCTAGCAGGTGGTACACCGTTAGATTTGGATGCCATCAGGGGGTGGATCCAGCGAGCCATACATCTTCTGGGCAACGCCAATACTGCGGTGGCCACTGAAAGACGCAAAGCGATCCTGATTAAAATAGAGCCTAAACTAGTGAACCTAGCTATTTCAGAGCCTGGACCCCAGGCAAAAGCCCTCCTGTTTGGAGATAATTTTGTCAAAGAATTAGACACATATGTAGGCACCTTTATGGCACTTGATAAAGCTCAAGCCAGCATGAAGCGGGTGTTCCACCAGAGAGTTTTTGGTGGGGCCGGCAGATATCGGGGCCGTCTGCCCAGCCGCTCACCCTGGGGTTCATACCGGGGCTCTGGAGGCTCCATACAGTCCAGGTTCACAGCACCTGAGCCCAAACATACCTCACCTTTCTTCCCGGTTCGGGGCAGACCATGGCAGTCTCGGAGACCCAGAGGTTCTTCATATGGCCGACGACCTTATGGTAAGTTCAATACCTCTTCACCTGTCTTCATTAACAATGGTGGGGGGCAGACTGTTTCCCTTTGTCAGTGCATGGCGCATGCTCACTGCAGATGCCTGGGTCCTCCACACTGTCCAGGGTTACTCTATAGATTTTGTGTAATACCCTGTTCAAATGAAGCCCCCCAACCACATGGTGTTCCCCACTCATGATCAATATTTGATATCACAGGAAGTCCAGGCCTTAGCCTCCAAGGGTGCAATTTCTGCAATCCACCCTCTCACTCCAGGTTTCCTAAGCAACCTCTTCCTGGTCCCCAAAAAAGACAGAGGCGTTCATCCAGTCATCAATTTACGACCTTTAAACATGTTTGTCACATACCACTACTTCAAGATGGAAGGTATACACTCCCTCCGAGACCTCCTGCTTACAGGGGACTGGATGGTCAAGCTCGACTTGAAGGATGCGTACCTCATGGATCCCATGGCCGAACACTGCCAAAGATTCCTTCAATTCCAATGGGAGGAGACCGTGTGGCAATTCAAATGCCTACTGTTCGGCCTCTCATCGTCACCCTGGTGCTTCACAAAGCTCATGAAACCAATGGCCGCCCTCCTATGCAGCAGAGGAGTTCGACTCATAATATACTTGGACGATATCCTCATCATGGCGCAGGACCCTCATCTGCTCCACGAACATTTTTCTTGGACAAGGACTCTGCTAGAAAACCTGGGTTTTCTAATCAATTGGGAGAAGTCGGTCACCAAACCCTCTCAATCAATAGAATTCCTAGGATTCACCATAGATGCTGTGAGCGGAGCACTCCTACTCCCAAAAACCAAAGTCAAATCCATCAAAAAGGAAATCAGGCAGATGTTAGCACGTCCTGTTCTTACCTTGAAACAACTGGCCAGGATTGTCGGCCTTCTCTCAGCGTCAATCCAAGCCAGATTTCCCAGACCTCTGCACTACAGAGCACTTCAACGACTGAAGACAAAATACCGTCGTTTGGGGCACTCGTACTCAGACTCTGTTCCTCTCAACTGCACCGCCAAAGAAGAACTCAGGTGGTGGCCACAACTCGTACTCAGACTCTGTTCCTCTCAACTGCACCGCCAAAGAAGAACTCAGGTGGTGGCCACAACTCGTACTCAGACTCTGTTCCTCTCAACTGCACCGCCAAAGAAGAACTCAGGTGGTGGCCACAACATGGAAGCCTGGAACGGCCGAGCAATCTTCGGAACAACTCCGGACATCATAGTTGAATCCGATGCAAGTATGCTCGGCTGGGGTGCACGCTGCGGATCTATCTCCACCGGAGGAAAATGCTCCTAGAGGAAGAGGGACTTCATATCAACTGCCTCGAACTGCTGGCAGGATCGTTTGCCCTACGGAGTCTTTTAAGTATATCGACTAACTGCTCCATTCTGTTACGCATGGACAATATATCAGCAGTTCGCTATATCAACCACCTCGGTAGCATGAAGTCAACAATACTAGCGGAACTAGTGAAGGATTTCTGGCAGTTCTGTCTGGATCGCAAAATTTCAGAACAAGGGGAATACATTCCGGGGATGACCAACATAGTGGCAGACTGGAATTCCAGACACCTACGAGATACCAGCGACTGGCGACTGAACCCAGCCACCTTCAGCCATTTACAGTCACTTTGGGGACCTTTGGACATCGACCTGTTTGCATCACGCTTGAACACACAGTTGCCGAAGTTTTTCAGCTAGAGACCGGATCCAGAGGCTCTAGCGACAGACGCTTTCCTCCAACCGTGGCCGAATACCTGCCACTATGCCTTCCCTCCTTTCTCTCTCATCGCAGGGACTCTGCTGTACCTCAGATGTCACCGAACCTCCTTGATCCTCATATGCCCCTTCTGGGCATCTCAGTCCTGGTTCCCTACACTCCCGAGGTTACTACCGGTAACCACCAACCTTGTACTGGACCCCAACGGGAACTCACAACCCTTCATACTTCAGGGACATCTCAAGCTCTTGGCATGGCTCCTCTCAGGGGACTCTGTGACATCTCAAATGTTCCACAAACAATTCTGGACCTTTTGGTGGGGGCTTGGGCCACAGGAACAAGGAGGTCATACCTACATACCTGGAACTCATGGAATAGTTGGTGCATGGAACAACACGTGGATCCCATATCTGCAACTGTGAGTCAAGTTAACCATGAGAGTATATCTCTCCACAATTGCTTAATATTAAGTTTGCTCTATCGGTGACATTGGCATGGACTGAAGGATATTAGATCCTCAAGCACTATTTTGCATAGAATGTAGAGTCGTAATAAAACTTTCTCCTCCTGTCCTAAATAGATGCCTTAAAATCTATTTTTATAAATCCGCTTTCTGGATTTCTTCTGATAGTCTGTTTATCTTTACTAATAGACCATAAAGATCTTCAAGCCTCTATATAAGCCACCAGCAGATGGATAGTTTTGGCTGTTTTTTAGGCTACTAAGCCCTAGGGATTACAGTACTTAAAGGTCTGTTTGCTATAGCGCCATTTCTCCCTCTTGAGCACCCGTGGCCAAGTTTCCCTGGAACTTGTGGGTAAATGGCTGCTTGGTACTCAATCAATTTTCAGAATTTTTTTTTTTTGGTACATTTCAGTTGGTCAATTTGATAATGTGCCAATAGTGGGCAATCAGTTTTTCATTTCCAATGTACTTATGAGGTTTGTGTGTTTGTTAATTTGCATTCATATTTTGGAAGTCTTGTGTACTTCTTTCCCTCCCTTGGTTATTGCTTGGGTATTAGCCATTGTTGTGCTGCCATGGATATGGCCAGGAAAAAGGAAAATGTATTCCTACTTACCGTAATTTTCTTTTCCTGGTCATAGGCCATGGCAGCACAAAGATCCCGCCCTGGGATATTGCTGGAAACAAGACTGAAGGTGGGAGGGGTAGGATGGGTTACTTATACCTTCTGTTTTAATTAGGTTCCTGTCTGGTTAGGGATAGGGAGGTGCTACCCATCGTTGTGCTGCAATGGCCTATGACCAGGAAAAGAAAATTACGGTAAGTAGGAATAAATTTTCCTTTATATGCGTATATACTTATGTATATAGATATATATATTATTTTGTTCTCTGTGTATTTTATCACTATATATATATATATATATATATATATATATATATTAAAATACAGTTAAAACGAAATTACACATATTTATGGTTGCCTGCCTGCTTCCTTTAGACTATGGCCCCATGTTGAAACGCTTGATTTTCCCCTGCAAAGACACGAAAGCCGGGTCATTCGGTGCTTGCCCTGTTTGAGTGGTGATACCCCAGATAGCTATGCCATGGAGCCCATTCGTATAATGAAAGACTATGGGAAAGACTTTGGCTCCATGGCAATTGAACTGTATGTGTGTGATCTGAGCGCCATTCAGTAATAATGTGCGCTCAGATCTGAGCTATCTGGGGATATGTTGAATGTACCTATTTTATGCAATGGCTGCACAGTTATATATTTTTATGTATTTTATTGTCTTTTGCTGCCATGTGTTCAGTGGAGTTTTGCCTCTGTCCTTGGAGATAATTGGATTACTTCCCAATTATCTCTAGGATAGAAGACTCTGTGGAACTGGTTTTGGGCAGAAAAGCCATGCTTCATTTGGTCACAAAGGACTACGATCTATCTTTTGAACCACTGGACCAATTTGTATGATTTTGACGTATGTTTGTATTAGGAGTATGCTGATTCTGTGAATGTGATGCATACTTTTAAAGTTATGAATAATGTGGAAAAACTGTATTTCTCTGACTGTGATAATTACATTACCCATTGTGTAAGGTAATTGTATCACAGGCAGAGGGGAGGATTTTGTGTGGGAGTGTCTGAGTGTATTGTACGTGTTTATTGGTTGTTTTCCAAAACCCTGTGGGTGGTACTAATGTGTATATAAGAACAATAAACACACAGCTCTGTCGGTTCACTGCTTGACCCTCAACACGGAGCTTACTGTATGCTGTTCCAGTTTGACTGCTAGGAGTGTAAACCTATTTGTATGGTTTTTCCTATTCGACTGCTTACAGCATTCGTGTGGTTCCGGTTCAGCT